AAAAAACCCCATAAACAGAGGTTGTAGGATTACTTTAAGTCTAAAAACAATGTCATATTTATTCACTTTATATATATATATATATATACTGGGCTTTAAGGGCGTGCTGCGCACATCTTCTTTTCAACTTTTAATCGTGGCTTTATCTGTGAGCATCTTTTCTTTGTACAGTTTAAAACCAAAACCAACATTTTTTTTGCGGATTTCATAATATTTTTTCGCTCATTTTCAAAATTTTACAAAAATAAAAAACTTTTAAACACAAATTTTTTAAATTTTTATCATTCATAAAAACTTTTAAACACAAATTCTTAAAATTTTTATCATTAATAAACCTTCCTTGCGGTCACGTGAAGTCCTACTCAAAATTTTATTGGATACAAACAAACAGACAGACATATATATACCAGACCCTTCCTCAATACTTTACTAAATCCTGACTAGACTGTATAGATATTGATTTAATATTTCCTCTAGTGTTTAATGAAAATATATGTTATATCAATAAAACAGAAAAATTGATTTTTAGTTTAAAATTAGTAAAAATTATATTTTTAGTTTAAAATTAGGAAAAATTCTATTTTTAGTTTAAAATTAGGAAAAATTATATTTTTTGTTTAAAATTAGGAAAAATTATATTGTTTTTTTATCTATTTAGGAATAATGCGAAGAAAAAATCAATGCAATACAGACAAGGTTGTGGATTTATAAATATGATATTTTTTAATATTCAGGATTAACCCTGAACGGTCTGGGGGGACATTTGACGCCCCCTTCTAGTTTTTTTTGCCTTAGTACTCTTATTTTTGACACTATCACCATGAATTTTTTTACTTTAAATGAAAATAAGTTAAAAGAATTAAAAAAAATTCTAAATGCATATTGTAGGGCATATGCAGAGCGGTAAAAAGTCCGGAAAATCTAAAATAGCTTAATAAGTTACAGATCTTAAAACTATATTTTTGAAAAGCCCTTGAAAAATTAATGTAGAGACGGAGCACGATCATTTGCTATCAACTCACTTGCTATCTACTAACTTGCTATCTGCTCACTTGCAATCAGTCTCATTAACTATCAGCCTCACTTGCTATCTACTCACTTGCAATCAGCTTCATTAACTATCAGCCTCACTTGCTATTTACTCACTTGCAATCAGCCTCACTTGCTATTTACTCACTTGCATTAGCCTTATTTACTATCAGCCTCACTTGCTATTTACTCACTTGCATCAGCCTTATTTACTATCAGCCTCACTTGCTATCTACTCACTTGCAATCAGCCTCATTAACTATCAGCCTCACTTGATATTTACTCACTTGCAATCAGCCTCATTAACTATCAGCCTCACTTGCTATTTACTCACTTGCAATCAGCCTTATTTACTATCAGCCTCACTTGTTATCTACTCACTTGCAATCAGCCTCATTTACTATTAGCCTCACTTGCTATTTTCAATTCACTTGCTATCTGTTTCACTTGCTCTCAGCCTCACTTGCTCTCAGACCTCACTTGCTCTCGCCACACTTGCTATCAAGCCTCACTTTCTATCAGGTCAATTTGCTATCAGACCTCACTTACTATCAAAACGTTTGCAATCCAAAACTAGTTACCATGGAAATACGCTGCTATCAAAATAAGTTGTTTCCTAAATAAGTTGCTGTCAAAACCAGTTCTTATTTCCTATCATAAACAATTGTTGCTTTCTAAACAAGTGCTGTCAAAACCAATTCTTAGTTTCTATCATAAACAATTGTTGTTTCTCAATAAGTTGCTGTCAAAACCAGTTCTTAGTTTCTATCATAAACAATTGTTGTTTCTCAATAAATTGCTATCAAAACCAGTTCTTAGTTGCTATCATAAACAATTGTTGCTTTCTAAACCAGTTGCTATCAAAACCAGTTCTTAGTTACTATCATAAACAATTGCTGCTTTCTAATCAAGTTGCTATCAAAACCAGTTCTTAGTTGCTATCATAAACAATTGTTGCTTTCTAAACAAGTTGTTATCAAAACCAGTTCTTAGTTTCTATCATAAACTTTTTGTTTCTCAATAAGTTGTTATCAAAACCAGATCTTAGTTGCTATCATAAACTTGTTGTTTCTCAAAAAGTTGCTATCAAAACCAGTTCTTAGTTGCTATAATAAACTTGTTGTTTCTCAATAAGTTGTTATGAAAACCAGTTCNCTATCATAAACAATTGTTGCTTTCTAAATAAGTTGCTATCAAAACCAGTTCTTATTTGCTATCATAAACAATTGTTGCTTTCTAAACAAGTTGCTGTCAAAACCAGTTCTTAGTTGCTATCAAAAACTTGTTGCTTTATAAATCAGTTGCTATCCAAACCTGTTCGTTGGATTCTTTTTGTAGAAAAGCTACTCTATTGGCATCCGTTTCCTGTATTTCTGGCACCTGTAGGTGGCCCGTGTATTGTATGCCTTGTCTTTGTAGTGTAAATACAGGTAGTTATTAATACCTTTCAAAATGTTTACTTGAGGCAAAAAAATGAGCCGGTTCCATGCCCACGCAAAGTTTGCCAGCAAATGAGAATTCCAAATGTTGAGAAATTTTTCCTTTTTTTCAGATTTTTAGGAGAAAAGAAATGGTAAAAACAAGAATTGAGAGGAAGTCGAAAATTTGATAGTAAATTATAATTGATAGCAAAATTATTGATAGCAAATGATGATTGATAGCAAAATTGTTGATTGCACGTGAGGCTGGACAGCAATTATGTGTCGATAGCAGTTGAGGCCGGATAGCAAATGAGGCTTGATAGCAAATGAATGTGATCGCAACTAAGGTGATAGTAATATATATGCAAATGATCGTGCTCCGTAGAAACATGTGTCACATCTTGATAGCCACCTCACCCCAACATACACTTACCAGTAACTACCCCACCCCATTTTACTAGCCACCCCAAAAATTCCAAAAATAATTAATTAAAACTTACAAAATCATTTATGCAAATTAAATAAAATTTTTATTTGTTAATATTTTTTTGGTTCTTTTTATAAAACAACTTTATGCCTTCGTGATTTATTTATTAATAAAATACTAACTTTGATTGTCTTACATCTCAGACTTTCTTTATTCTTCATTATCTCTTTTTCTACCATTTTTACCCCTTCTCTTTTTACCATTCTGTCGACCATTCTCTGGATCATTCTGCCGATCATTTTGCCGATCTTTTTGCCGATCGTTCTGTCGACCATTCTGTCGACCATTCTGACGAACATTCTGACGACCATTCTGACGACCATTCTGCTGATCAATCTGTCGATCAGTCTGTTGATCAATCTGAGGATCATTCTGCCGACCATTCTGTCGACCATTCTGTTGACCATTCTGTCGACCATTCTGTCGACCATTCTGTCGACCATTCTGTCGTCCATTCTGACGACTATTTTGCTGATCAAACTGTCGATCGTTCTCTAGACCATTCTGTTGGCCATTCTGTCGACCATTCGGTCGACCAATAAGTCGATCATTCTGAGGATCATTTTGAAAACCGTTTTGAGGAACATTTTGAGGATTATTCTGTCGACCATTTTGAGGACTCTCTTGTGGAACATAATTTGGAGAACCAGGAATATTTTGCCGACCATTCTCCAAACCATTCTGCGGACCATTTTGCTGACCATTCTGGGGACCATTCTGCGGACCATTCTGTGGACCATTCTGCGGACCATTCTGCCGACCACCTTGTGGAACATTTTGACGGCCACCATTCTGCTTTGGGCTAAACAAACCCAGGAGACCATTCACTGCAGTCTAAATTTTACATTCAAATGTTAAAATCGTTAAAGAATGCACGTAAAAAACATGTTAATATTAGTGAAAAATAAAAATACTAATTTAGATTTAAATTTGATAATGATTTAGATTAAGATGTCAAAATCTTTCAAAATCTTATTAACAATTAGATTATAATAGCCCAACAGAGTTAGAGTTAGATTACAGGAAAGTCTCGAAGTTTGATATCTATAAAATAAGAAAATGCTCGTAAGTGATAAGTATTCATTACTCAAGTCTGTTCATCATAGTTTAAATATAAACATAGATAATATGAACTCAATTTATTCAATTAATCCGTGATTTAAAAACTTTGGCTCGAGCCTTAATTCCTGAACCCCGACTTTAAGACCCAATCTTCGACCCAACTCTGAGGACAGCTTGTGTCACGTGATTGACAGCTGCAAGATCTTTGTCTCGACTTAAGAAGTTTGGCCCAATGAAAATAAAACCGACCTTAGTTGGTTTTAGTGGAGAATAAGGCTTAATGTTGAGAATTGTTCTCATAAAAACCTGGAATGCGTCCAATCCTACCATGAAAATCCGCCAAATAGAATATTAAACCGGTCAACCCGTAAATAAAGCTTAACGACAGCTTAGACCCGAGGCGTATTTTCCCGAATTTTTTAAATCGGGGGCTCAGTATGCTTAGTAATGATGAAAACATATTTTAAACTGCAGTCATACTGTGTCTACAGTCCAAAGGGAACCACTACAAACTTATTTAAGATTTATTAACGGAAAATGTTGCAAAAGGAATTTTTTTATTGACAGACTTTTGTGCAAAAATAATAACCGACTAAGATTGCTTACTTTTAAAATCATCCCTAAAACTGAATAATCTATGAGGATTTTAAAGATTGAATTTGCGCTCTTACTGAACAAATGTGCACCGTAAAAAATGTTTCATAGATCTCCAATGATTCTTAAAAAATTCTTCACAAAAGTACATTCTCAGTTCAACTACCATGCATTGCCGGTCACTCCCTTTAACTCAAATATTGCTCCTGGAGCTAACACTGCTTATTGGGAACACAATATATCTTGGTTCAAGATATTACTCTTCCTAACAGAAATATATCAACTGTTTATCTGATAACAGGTAGCCAATTGGTCACTGGGGTTAAAACTTTTGTTACCAAAATGTCTTAGTTTCAACTATTTTACACAAATGCAAGATGATGTCAATAGGGAGGCCTATATAACGATTGATTTAGCTAAAGATTAATACTACTGTCCTCTGGGATCGCCTGGATGAGTAATGGTTGTTCACTATGTGTACCGAGTTTAGAGGGCATTACTGAGGTTGAAGAAGGTCAAATTTGATAAAATATATTCATTCTACACACACAATTTTATATTAATTTGATAAAATATATTCATTCTACGCACACAATTTCATATTATTTTGATAAAATATATGCATTCTACGCACTCAATTTTATATTAATTTGATGAAATACAGGGTGTCCCACGAAACATGACAGTATGCAGGACGACTTAAATGTCGTCTTGATTTTTGATATAATTTGCTGTGTTTATTTGTCAACCTAATTTTAGAAGTAAATTTCTAGAGATAATAATCACAAAATTTCCATTGTCCTGCCATTTCCAAAATGTGGTCTGCCTTTTTTGACAAAATTTTCAAAAATTTAATGAAGATCGAATTTTGATGGAGACAAATATTTGAAATTTTGATCATTCATAAACCTTTCCTGGGGTCCCTAGATGTCCCACAAAAAAATTGGGCCCGATCGGTTCAGCCGTTTTGACGTTTATTGGATACAAACAAACAGACAGACAAACAGACAGACAAGCCAAATTTATATATAGATTTGATAAAATACATTCATTCTACGCACACAATTTTATATTAATTTGATAAAATATATCCATTTTACGCACACAATTTTATATTAATTTTAAAAGTTTCCATCTTTACAACACACCCTGTAAATTATCTTCCTTAATTAAACTATTGTAAAGACTTGACAAAAAATAAATACTGATACCAAAAAATTTAAGTTTCCCTTCTAAAATAGATCTTACCCCAATTAGGCCACCTATTAAGTAATCTTCTCCATTAGAATCATCTTGATCATGATTGTCAGTAAATTCATCTCCAGCATTCCCTCCGGAACCATATTGGTCTTCATTAGAACCAATAATGTTTTCAGATTCTTCCAGGTTTTCAGCAGAACTACCAGTGTCTTCAGGTCCTGGTGGGTTTCCACCAGACCCTTCCTGGTTGATAATATGAAGTGAAAACTAGTTGATATACAATAGAAGGCGATTAAATCAATACAATGAAGACGACTTTCGATTTGAATTTTATTTATATCAAGAGGTTAACTTGTAATTCAAAAAATCCTTGCTAACAATCAAAAATTAAATAAAAATGTCGTCTTCATTGTATTGATATAATTGCCTACCACTGTAGTGAAACTAGTTGATATATGTAGCATGTACTAGTCACGTGGATTTAACGGTTCTGTCAATATTCCAGAAAACTCTGACTTTCGATCACAATTTGTCCTAATAAACATCATTGTTTAGCATTTTTTCTTAAATACTTTTTTGGCATAAACATTTTGAACAAAAAATATAAAACAAACAAATCCGTAAGTTTAAAGATTGTTTAATTATATAGACCAAAACGCGTTTGATTTCAAATAGAAGAAACCGAATAATTTCTAAAAATGTCGCCTACCCCGACCAAATCGTCCAGAGCATAATCATCTCCAGTACCTAGAGTTTAACTTCATGTATTCATTATTAAAGGGAGTGTTTGCGAAAATGAAAAGAGGTATTTGAAGAGGAGAATATATATCTTGTTTTACCTTTATTATCTCCAGTATAACCTGAAGGATTAGCATCTGGTTCTTTAACTATACAAAGGTATATATTTTAGAGTACAATCTTCACAAAAAATATAGAACACAATCAAGAATAGAACCTAGAACANTAATATTATTTAAAAACAAAAAGACTGATTTACCTGCACCCGCACCCGGAGTTTTAGCACCTGGTTTATCATCTACATTTAATTAGATGTTTAAGAGTGGAGTCGGGTCAGGAAGCGTTCCAATAACGAAAGCAGTTTGAAAATTAACGAAAAATTAACGAACAATTATTAATTTTCACATCGTGAAGCCTATCACGATATGGTTCATGATGAAAATGAACGGAAATTATTAATTTGAACAAACGGATAAAATCTAGAATAGAATCTAGAATAGAATCTAAAATAGAATCTAGAATAAAATCTAGAATAGAATTTAGAATGGAATCTAAAATAGAATCTAGATCATATAATCTAGAATAGAATTTAGAATAGAATCTAGAATAGAATCTAGAGTAGAATCTAGAATAGAATCTAGAATAGAATCTAGAATAGAATCTAGAATAGAATACAAAACAAAATCTAGAATATTGAAATTCTGTTACTTGATGAAAACTGACAAATGTTTTTTTCAGCGCAAAAACTTTGAAACAGCGTATTTTCCTTTTCCTTAAATTATTTCACGAAGTACAAAACTGACCTTTACCTGTTTCAACCAAATATGTCTTAGAATTGACAACAGCTATCAATGGAAGAAGTAAAAATATTCTCATTATTTTCTAAAATAAAATTAACACTTAACACTTTTTTTTGGAAAGATGTTGCATGGGAAGCTGTTGTATGGGAATATGTTGCATGGGAAGATTTGCATGGGATGCTTTTTCATGGAAAGCTCTTGCATGGAAAGCTCTTGCAAGGGAAGATGAGGCATGGGAAGTTGCATGGAAAAATGTTGCATGGGCAGCTTTTGCAAGGCAAAATGCTTCATGAAAAGCTATTGTATGGGAAATTTTTGCAAGAGAAGCTCTTGCATGGGAAGTTGTTGCATGGGAAATTGTTGCATGGGAATCTCATTCATGGATAGCTCTTGCATGGGAAGTTTTTCATGGGATGCTCTTGCATGGGAATATGTTTCATAGGAAGCTTTTGCATTGGAAGCTCTTGCATAGGAAGCTTTTGCATGGGAAGCTCTTGCATGGGTAACAATTGCATGGTACGCTCTTGCATGGTAAGATTTTGCATGGGGAAGCTCTTCCATTGGAAGCTTTTGTATGAAAAACTCTTGCATGGGAAGCTTTTGAATGGGAAGCTTTTGCATAGGAAACTCTTGCATGGGAAGCTGTTGTATATGAAGCTATTGCATGGGAAGTTGTTGCATGGGAAGCTCTTGCATTTAAAGCTCTTACATGGGAAGCTATTGCATGGGAAGTTGTTGCATGGGAAGCTCTTGCATGGGAAGCTCTTGCATGGGAAGCTCGTACATGGGAAGCTCTTGCATGCATGAGAAGCTGCCAATAGCAAACTACTCACCTTTAGTGTTGGCTATTAACTGAATGCAAATTATATATACTAGTAACTGTGTTCCTATTCTTATTATTATTTTATTTTATTGCACTGATTAAAGACTATTAAATTTGTTAATAAATAACGAGGCTGCATTTCATTATTATTTATGTTAGTTTTACTGCTGTTTACTAATGAATTAACCAGGGGTGTTTAATCATATACTAATTTTATTTTCTGTAATGCAATAAAATAATAGTAATAATAACATGCATAACATTGTTAACTCACTTTCTTTGCTGGGAAACAAGATTCACAAAATCATTTGGAAACAAAATTTTAATAAAAAAAATTAGAATTTCGAAGAATAAAAAATGTTCAAGTGGGTCAAAGTTTATAATTTTTACTAGATTGTGATAAAATGTTCAAGTGGGTCAAAGTTTATAATTTTTACTAGATTGTGATAAAATGTTCAAGTGGGTCAAAGTTTATAATTTTTACTAGATTGTGATAAAATGTTCATGTGGGTCAAAGTTTATAATTTTTACTAGATTGTGATAAAATGTTCAAGTGGGTCAAAGTTTATAATTTTTACTAGATTGTGATAAAATGTTCATGTGGGTCAAAGTTTATAATTTTTACTAGATTGTGATAAAATGTTCAAGTGGGTCAAAGTTTATAATTTTTGCTAGATTGAGATAAAATTCTAATTTTTTCAACTAATGTCGAAACAAGAGTTTAAACACTTGGCGTTGTTTAATAAAAACTTCATTTTTTCCAATTAGCATTTAAAGGAATAGTGGGATTAATTTTAAACATTTTTTACAATTAGCATTTAAAGGAATAGTGGGATTAATTTTAAACATTTTTTACAATTTCTAGAATTTGAATCTTTCAACAAATAACTAGGAACACGTTTTTTACTTGTGGAAACTCTTTTAAAACTATTTTTCACTTCTTTTAAATATTCAAATGATGAATTTTTAGTACACTTGAATAATTGTTGCCGCTAAGGGCAGCGGCATAAATCATCTTTATTCATTCATTCATTCATCCTTTCATTTATTCATTCATTCATCCTGTCATCCTTTTCCTTTTCATCCTTCATTTTTTTTCTCCAGATCATTTATCAATTGTTCAAACCTATCAGCCCTACAATATAATTTACCAATTGTTCTAACCCACGGGGATTTAACAGTTCTGTCAATATTCCAGAAAGCTGTGACTTTCGATCACAATTTGACCCATTAAACATAATTTGTTAGCCTTTTTTCTTAAATACTTTTTTGTTGCCATATGCATTTTGAAGGAAAAAGTATAAAATAAACAAATCCGTAAAGTATATGATTATTAAATTATAAACCAAAACTCGATTAATTTCAAATAGAAGAAACCGAATGCTGCTCACTCTGGTTAGTCCGGTGTGAACCTACCAGTCCTAATACAATATCTATTAATCTTAGAAAAAAATGATGAAACATTTATAAACTAGAAATTTTTATGATTTATACATGCATGAAAATTCGATGGTAATTAATTGTTTCCTAAACTATTTTAGTATTTTAGTACGGTGGTAGGCGATAATACCAATACAATGAAGACGACTTTTTTATTAAAGTTAATATCGTTTACAAACTTTTTTCCAATTACAAGTTTTTTTGATTGACAGCTTCTCTTTCTTTCCATTTGTTGTGCATCTATGATGTGTAAAAGCTTGATATAAATCAAACTTTAAGTCGAAAGTCGTCTTCATTGTATTGATATTATTGCCTACCACCGTATTTTAAAAACCGCAAAATGTGTAAACTAGATTTCTTTAACTCTGAAGATAATAAAAACTTATTTTTGTTAGTAAGGTGAAATCACAAAAACTAATTGATACACGTAACACAATATACATATTTAGGTCAAAAGAGTTGTTAATTAACATTTGAAACGAAAAAAGTTTTTTTACGGCATTCCTTTAATCCCTCCCCCTTAAAGGGACAGACCGGCCATGTAGGGTAGTTAAACTGAGTATGCAGCGTTGTGGACAAATTCTTTAGGATGCATTTGAGACATGTGAAACGTTTCCACGATGTGTAACCATTTATCTATGTGTATAACTACTTAGTTTGAGTGCATAGTCGACGTTCAAAATCATGAATTTGGGTGGGTGCGTTTTCAGAATCTTTTTTTATAATTATTAGATAATGACGACGAAAAATAAAGTAAAATTATACAGTAAATCAATTAGATGCAGGTTAGGAACATATTTCTCGAAAGAAATTTGTCAATAAATCAATGTTAGAATCAATTATTTCATTTTCATCATTATATTGAATTTCTTATTTTCAATGAATTTATTCGCAGATTTTGACAAATTCTTCAAATGTTGCCTTTTCAATAAAAAATTTAAGAAAATCTACGGAAAATCTTTGTGAATATTTGAGAGATTATAGAAACTAATAATAGAATAAGATTACTTATTTTCGATAGGATTAATTTGTATTTTCTCAACCTGTTCCTAAACAACTAATTTTAGTTTACTGTCGAATTTTGTTTCCATTTTTTGTCGTCGTTATTTAATAATTTATAAAACAATTCTGAAAAGGTGTCCACCCAAACGATTTTGAACGTCGACTTTGCGCTCAAACGCAGTAATTATACATCGTGGAAACATTTTATATGTGTCTAATGAATCCTAAAGAAGCTATGTCTCATAGGAATCCTAAAGAATTTGTCCACAACACTGCACACTCAGATCAACTACCTTACATAGCCGGTCTGTCCCTTTAACCGCAACAAAAAAAATAAATCTCACAAGTTTTCAATTATAACTCCAAAAATTGGAAAGCAATTGATAAGATTTCTTAATGTTATCGATATTTTTCTCATACTTGAGCGTAAAATCAGATTTAGAGAAGCTACAGGGTCAGCTAGCAAGTCATACCAGTATTTCTGTCTAGCTCAAGGAGTATGGAATAGAAGGGAGATACAACTGACGCGGCCCACCCTACCGATTATACATGCTTTCAAATTTACTTTGGATTGACGTGGCCAAGGTTATAATGCAAGGAAAGTTAATTGTAGTTGCGTATACTCTGCGTACATATTGAAACCAGTTATCTCTGTGCTGAATTTGTAAACAAGAATAGATGCATCAGTGTTCGTTTAGTATCCGAGGAGGATAAAAGCATTGAATTTTGAAAATTTTAATAATTTACAATTTCCTATGACCAGAATATGCCATTGATTTTTTATGTGAAATATGGATCCACAGACTACACAGACTGCTTAAATCTCCTTTCACAGGGTGGGCTACGTAGGCCTAAGTTGACCCGGCACTTCATGCTACGTTTTTATGATAGGTTTTTAGAGTGCCATCTCACAGCCACTTGTTCAACATAACACCCATTCAGGGGTCAAGTTTTACAACTTTTAAAGAAATTCTCCAGTTTTAAACATAAAACATAACATTTATGAGTTCAGTCTTTTTTTGAAGATTTTGTGTTTCATTGTACACAATAGAACATGCTGTGGATAATATCGCATATTTTAGCTGATAATCGAATTCTGTAATTCTCTTATCTCTGCATGGATCCCATGTCAGGCTGTGACATCCGTCTTGTGTTTACATTACCGCCCGGAGACAGTACACTGCAGTACAAAAGATGCGTACAACTCTTCAATAACTTTCCTTGCATTATAACCTTGAACGTGGCTAAGTGGGATTGTACATACAAAGAAAATATCAATTATCAATCGTCGAATTAAAAGTTTGAAAACTATTAAATAGGAAATTTTTTTAGTTTATCTTTTTTTGTCTGTTTGTCTGCACCCCTGTCTGTATGTGAAGAGTTGTCTAGGGAAATCTCTCTAGTGTATGCTAATTGTATTGAATAAATGACTGTACTCTAGTATTCTAGGATACAGATACAAATCACCCAGTGAACCCGACCCAACCCCAACTCATCTGTCTCAGCAATAGATTTGTTCAATTAGGAAATTTACAATACCCTTCTCTACTTGAAGTTAAGCTTATGCAATCAAGAGAGCTGAAAGGGACTGTCAACGTTATTCAAGATGACCCCCCCCCCCCACACAGTTGGGCATTTTAGGGGGTTGAGGAGCTGACTGGTTTTATCACAATCTTTTGCTTAAAATGCATATGCCTTCATGATGAAACGGACATAACGGACGAAATAAATAAATCTTTTCATTTACAAAGAAAATTATTTGAATTTATATTATCCAGGAATCAATCTGAAGTAAATCCCCTATTTCTCGTACATTTGCAAAGCTGGCATTGTGTACAGAGGTTACACAGAAGAAAAATCTCAACAACAAAAAACGATTACTTTATAGTTATTTACAAGAAAGTACTGCTAATTCATGATAATCCATGGATATTTAAATAGATTCTAATTCGGCCATTAATTTGTTTGTCTCTGGTTCGTGGATAAAATGCCCATTTTAAGAGATTTTACAGAAATAACCTGCTTTCCGTCAGATTTTAGAACTTCAACGCAACATATTACGACTTATACACATCCCTCAAAAAAGTCTTAAGCGATCGAGCTTTATTTGAGTACAATCTTTTAACTTTATCGTCGTTATTATCTCAAATTATCAAATGTTATTAGAAACTATCAATTTGTCTCTGATGCCTAAATCCGCAATTTACTGATAAAAATACTCACTACTGAAATTATCAATTTTTAGATGAAAAAAACAAGTATATTTTCAACAACTTTTCTTAGGCCAAAAAAAACGTAATAATTGTCCTCGCTTTTGTTTTAAAACCAGCGAAACTTCTTATTTAACTAGACTATATATTACTATATTATATATATTATATATTAACTATATATTCCCCCGGACCCCCCTAAAACAAAACTGAATAAATCCATGTTTTGTTCCCCTGTTTACAGCTTAAAGAGAACCATGGCTGAATATAAAGTTGAAATAAATGCATACGATTGAAAGTCTTCTCGCCCTAGGCAATTCAGGAAATTCAGGCAATTCAAGCTAA